ACATTTTCTTTGTCTATTCCTCTGTCGCTGGACAGTCAGGTTGTTTCCATATCTCGGTTATTGTGAATAATGCTGGAATGAACACGGGAGTGCTAATATCTCTTTGAGATTGTGCTTTCAATTCTTTTTGATAAATGTCCAAAAATGGGATTGCTGAACCATAAAGTAGTTCCGTTTTTAATTTTTTGAGGAACCCCTCACTGTTTTCCATAGTAGTTGCACCATTCTCTATTTCCACCAACACTGTATAAGGATTCCAGTTTCTCCACATTCTCACCAATACTTGTCTTTTTATTTATTTTTTTATAATGGCCATCATAGCAGGTGTGAGGGGGTATCTTATTGTGGTTTTGGTTTGCATTTCCCTGATGGTTAATGAACTTGAGCATCTTCATACAGCTGTTGGCCATTTGTTTGTCTTTGGATAAATGTCTATTCAGTTCCTTAGTCTGCCAACTGACGATGAAAGCTCTTGGCAGGCCTATGTGCCCTGCCTCAGAGGTCATTTCTTTTAGAGAATGACAGAAGCCCCATCCCCTCAGAGAGAAAGGCATGACAAAGGGACGATGTGATTGGTGATCTTCAGCTGGCTCAAGTAGGATGTAGAGAAAGGGTCCAGTTCTCCCCCTGCCTTGGATCCTTAAGTCATTCTGTGGTTCAGGGCAAAGAGGTCTCATCTATCTTTAGTGAAAAAATCAAGTATCTACAAGCAGTGGAAAGAATCTAGTTTCAGGCAGATGAGAGGTTTGTTCTCCATTCTTCTTGCAACTAGTTCTATGACCTTGGGTAAGTCAATTAATCTCTCTAAGCCTCAGTTTCCTCATTTGTGAAAAAAAAACCCAAAAAACTAATAATAATTACCTCAAGGTGTTTTGAAGATTAAAGGAGGAAATATATAGAAAGTGCCTTAATGAAATCATGTCCCTCCTCTGCTCAAATCTTTCATCTCCCTTTGAGTAAAAGCCAAGGTATTTATAATGACTTAAAGAGCCCTTCATCATTTGAACTTCTCTTACTTTACTCCTGTTCTCCTTTGCCTTGCTCATTGCCCTCCAGCTGTACTGATATCCTGCTATTCCTCTCGCACACCAGACATCCCTGCCTCAGGGCCTTTGCACTTGCTGTTTTTCTGCCTGGAAAACTCTCCTCTCAGATAACCGCATGACTGGCTCCCTTCCTTCCTTTAAGTCTTTACTCAAGAATCACCTTCTCAATGAAGCTTTTACTGGACATTCTACCTAAAATTTCATTCCACCTCACTTCCACCCAAAACTTCACATCCCCTTCTCTGCTGTATTTTTTTTTTTCTCTTTCCTGGTCACCATCTCACTCAGTAGGTCCCTGTTTAATTATCTGCTAACTCTGATGGCATCTTCATAAAGGCAGGAATGACTATGGGTGTTCACTGCTGCGTCCCCAGTGCCTAGAACAATGCATGGCACATGATAGGCACAAAACATAAATCTGGTGAGCTGATTTGAATTAGATCATTTGTTCCTTTTTACTCTTGAGCTTCAACTTCCTAAACGGTACAGTGAGAAATATAGAGGAGCGTACAGGCTGATGTTACTTGGTCTGTGATCTCCTAGAAAGCAAAGGTGATTCTTGTTGAGTTTGTATTTACACTACCTTGTACCTGACTTGACATTCAGGAGGCACTTGGTGAATGTTGAATAAATGAGCACATAAATGTGTAACAGCTTGTGACAGGAAAATAAACTGTAATGGAAATGTATAAAATATAGTATGTTGATAATTAGGAAGCCTCTTATTCCATACTTGCATTTTGATATCAATGCTTTACAAAGCTATTCATTTATTTGGCAAATTTTTACTTGTACCTTCTATGTTCCCAGGCATTTGTTGTTGGTACTAAGACTATAAGTCAAGAGGACATGGATACTATCTTAGTTTCTTGCCACCCTGTGTGGGGAATGGACACATTAACGGCTAGTTTGAGGGCAGCACAGTGTGGGTACGGTGGCTGTGAAGGACAGAGGTCTATGGGACAAGACCAGGAAAGACTAACCAGTTCAATTTGGGGTAGTACGGAAGCTTTCTCAGAAGAAGGGACATTTACAATGAGTTTGAAAAGGATGAGTTACTTCACCTGGGGAAGAAAATGAGAAGACAGACTCCAGCCCTAGAGGATCACATTTTCAATGGCCTCACAGTTCCGGAAGGGGATGTTGTTGCCATTATTGTCATCATCGTCGTAACAATAATGGCTGCTCATATGTATTGAGTCTACACTGGGTTTCAGGCACTATGTTATATGTTAAATCTCTAAACAGAAGGATAACCTACCAGAAATACTCATGCCACTTATCCCCACACGTCCTGGGGGCGGGTAGAATGGGTTTTATCATCCTCATTAAGAAATGAGAGACAAGATTCTGATTCCCTTTACGCTCTCATTAAACTGGTATCTGAATAACTTAGCAAATAACTTAGTAACCCAAGAACTTATTTTTTGTTTTCTTCTCAAGATGTTTTATTTTCTCTTTAGCACTCATCACTACTTGGTGTACAAATAGATATGTATTTATTCAAATTTGTACATATCTCTTTCTCACTAGAAGGTGAGATCTATTGAGAGCAGGACTTTGTTTTGTTCACTGCTATATCCCAAGTATGCAGGATGCCCTCCGTAAATACTTGTTGAATGACAGAAGGACCTCATCAGGTTATTGTGTAGGATCTTTGTTGGAAAACGGTGGTCAAGTGTTTTCTAACAAACAGTGTATCTGATTTCTCATTTCCAGACAGCACAGTTTAACTGGGATCCAGAGACAGTGGGCCTTATCCATGGATCCTTTTTCTGGGGTTACATTGTGACACAAATTCCAGGTGGTTTCATTTCAAACAAGTTTGCTGCTAACAGGTAAGATAAACCGATATAAAATGAGTGCTATGTAGGTTATAAGATGGCTGTGTACCTTCCTAAAACCTTCCTGGTCAGCCCTCAATTTGAGGGTGCAGAATGAAAAGCAGGAGCCATCTCAATAGATGTGATTCACAGGTATTGATCCCAAATGACCCTATTCTTAAGTGTCTCTTTTTATTTGCTTTTTCTTCCAGTTGAATTTACCTTGCAACTCTTGAAGCAATTATGTGCTAATAAGAGCAATTGACTCTGAATCAGAAGAAATGGTTCCTGGCCCCTACGTAGCTCACTGGGTGGCCTCTATCAAGTCACTTTCCCTCCTTTTCTGGGCCTCAGTTTCCTCATCTATGAGATGAAACATTGGACCAAATTGTATTTCAGTTCCCTCTGGCCAGTGACGTTCTGTAATCCTATGCACTTATGTTAATATTGCCCAGTACCTAAAAGGTTTTGTCATATGAGTAGTAGGGGCTTGTGTCCAGATAGCAAAGCATGTCTTTAATGTCCTTGAGACTCTACAGCAGGTGTTTGAGCAACTGAAAGTGTCCAAGAACAGAATGAGCTGTCTCAAGAAGCAGTGAGTTCTCTGTTGCTAGAGGTATTCAAGCAAAAGAGGATGGCCACTTGGGGGAGATGTTGTAGAATGCATCACGTACCAAAAAAGGAGTGAACTAAATATCTCCAGGTCTCCTCCAGTTGTATTTCTCATAGGACTTTACATAAATGGATTTTGTGAAGTGCATTACATTTTATAAAGCAGTGTTTTTCAAATTCTAAAACATAACTCATTAGATGGTTGTGAAATCAGTATAGTGATTTACCAATGAGCATTTAAAAAAAAAGAGAGAGAAAATAGGAGAGAAGATAATCAAATAGAATAAAACTTAATAGAAAATATCTGAGTGCATTGCATTCAGAGAACTCTAAATACTTGTTGTTGAAACTTGTTTCAGTTACATTTGTGTGTATGAGTATCAGGCTGCAATGTAAAATATATTTTGTTTATGGGTCAAGGTCGAAAAGTTTGAAAGCTACTATCATAACATCTAAATATGTCCAAGCACAACTGTATTTACTTATGTTCGTGTCTAACTTGTTTCTTTTACTTATTGTTACTTACCTAATGTATTCTTTCTAAAAAGTGATAAAACGTTGGCTGCTATGGTCTCCTCAGTTATTGCTTACACCTCTGCCCTAAAACGAAATGACGTAATCTGATTTCCCAGCATGTAAAAAGGGCTGGAGCATCACTAGCGTGTGTGCGAAGGGGAGAACATGCTGCCTGCTCTCTTGTCCTAGGACACCCTGGGCCAGGCAGGAAGGAGAAGGCCAGTGGCGCTGGGCCTAAGGCAGGTACACAACCTACTTTGTGCTTGGCTGGTCCCAGGACACAAGATGCTTCTTGACTAATCAGTATTCCTTTCTGAGAAACTGAGAGCATCTCTGGGAAACAGGAGACACCACCTCAAACACGCAGAAGTCACGAGATAATAGGAAGGGTGTGTTGGGTGGAGCCGGACAGAACGGTGGGTCTGCAGCAAGCTCACCTCAACTTGGTCAATCTCCAACCTTCCAGAACATCATCCAGGCAGGGCATCCCTGTGCTGCCAAAAATGTGTCCATAATTGGTCCAGAAACTGAACTTGGGAATCAAAGCAGCCCAAGAGTGCAGCAGACCCTAACACAATGCCAACACAACATCTATTTTCCTGAATAATTTCTACTAATTTCCATAGGGAGCTATCATGAATTGTTAGGTTTGTTTCTGGTGTTTAAGTGTAGTGCCACATCCATCAGCGGGCCTGTCCGATAACACAGTGCTTTGGTCTCTCAGGGTCTTTGGAGCCGCCATCTTCTTAACATCGACTTTGAATATGTTCATTCCTTCTGCGGCCAGAGTGCATTACGGATGTGTCATGTGTGTCAGAATTTTGCAAGGTCTAGTGGAGGTAGGACATACTTTCCTTACAGTTTTCCACATTGCTCGAGACAGCGTGGTCCTTTAGAAAATTCAGCTCCTGGAGAAAACCTCCTTTACTCAGTTTTTCCTATCTTCCAGCTTGTCCTGCTGTCTCAGCTCTCTGGTTATGGCTGCAATTACAAATATTTTAATCAAAATGCCTTATGTGATTTTATATTTATGCACAACAAAAATCCATTCCATAATGATCTGAGAAGTAATCTAATCCAATCCCCTTCATTTTAAAAGGTGATGAAACTGAAGCCCAAACCTACAGTTCACATAGCAAGGGCTCTTTCCACTAACTAACGCAATTTAAATGGATTTATTAATAAATCTATAAATTTCCAATGGGTTTATTAACAAATCTCCTGATGTGGAGATTTAACTCAGTGAAAGAGGCAGCTTGATATAGAGCCAGAAGGTAAGTATTTTGGGCTCTGTTGCAATGGTCCAACTCTACTGTGCAGTGCAAAAGCAGCCAGAGACAATATGGATACAAATGGTTGTGGTTATGTTTCAGTAGAACTTTTTCGAAACTGAAATTTGAATTTCATGCTATTTTTATGTGCCATGAAATATTATTCTTCCTTTGTTATTTTTTTCTCATCACTGAAAAATTTAAAAACCATTCTTGCCTTGCAGGCTACACATAAAGAGATGGTGAGCCAACTGGGCCATAGTTTGCCAACCCCTAATGTAAAGCAACATTTCCCAAATTGAGTCATTCACTTTTAACCTGGATCACTTTGTTATGTCCATGTACAATGTGTACTATTATATTGTTTTTCCTAGTTCAGCTCACTTAAAAAAAAAAC